GTCTGACTTTTTGCTTTTGGTTCTCACTGTAATCATCGAGAGAGACAAATGACAAGCTTTGCCGTGCGGGTGCTTTTGAATTTTGACTGCTTTAATCAAATCTTTCATTCGAATCTTTTTATATCTCCGCTCCGGTTATATTTTACATCATAGGTAGAGTAGTAACATTTTATTTAATAATTAAAAATATTATTAGGATATATTATATTTATTTTTAAAATTTTTATTTTTATTAAAAATATATGATAATTATAATAAATAATTACTTTATTTAAGATAAAATCCTCACTCTAGCCTCTGGCCTAATAGTTCAGATTTATATTTTTTAACTCAGTTAAATATATATAATTTCATCAAAACCATACGATATCTACAAAGACAGTCAGATGACATTGAAATTACAAACAATTTAAGCACAATTAGAGAAAAAATAGAAAGTAAATCAAGTTCAACATAAATAAATAAACAGATAAAGGAGGGCAGTGAACATTGCACACGAACAATCGCTAAGAAAACAGATTGACAGCTTTCTTTGGTCCACCGTTCTAGAGATCTGGACACCCTTCCATCTACTCTCGCATAAATGACCCCCGTTCTCCAGGATGCCGAGGTTGGAACATTAGAGTAAGCGGCGGCCAGTCCCAAAATTCTTCATGATTGGCTTGTTGGCCCCTAGATCTAAGAAAACTCAAACAAAAAAACAAGAAACAGAAAGAAAGTAGAGCAAAGGCCACCAACAGGGCCACAAAAGAATCGACAGACCATCTAAAATGGCCATCGGACAGAGGAGCACGGTTCATCGACTCCACCATGCTTGAGAAGCCCTCCGACTGCTCAAGCATCAAAAACTCGAGAAGCCTAGAGGCTTTCGAGCAATAGTTAAGATTTATTAATTAATAGGCAAGATTTTTATAGGATTTTTCTTTTTGAACTATTTATAATTGAAGGCCAAGGCCAAGGATTCGAACTTCAATTTTAAAGTTAAAGATGCACTTTGCAATTGTGTTTCGAGCTTTGGAACCACAAGGCCTGGGTGCTTATAGGATTCCCTCCTTTTTTCTTTTTTTTTTTTCTTGAACATTGAGAAATTTGAGGATGAGAGAAATTTTTTTTTTTATGAGATTAAAATTCTTAACTTATTGGAGCCAAGCACTTAAGCTTGAACGGTAAATCAATTCACCTAGAAGGTTGGTTTCTTTAATTTTTAGGTTAAAACCCCATTTTTGTCCTTGAACTATTGTACGAACTCCCGATTTAATCCCTGAACTAAAAAAATCCCTGATATGATCGTTACTGTTTATCATTTTGACCCTAATTTGGTCATTCCGTTAAATATCCACCATTAACTTACAGTGAGTTAATGACATGGCAAAAATTTTAGACACGTCAGATCAAAATGATGACATGGCAACATAACAACTTATATTCATGCCATGTAACTCACCAAAATGACAATTTTACCCTCATCTTTTTCCCCACAGCATCCTCTTTCTCGAATCTTCTTCATTCATCCTTCTTTTCCCTCTCTTTACCTCCTCCAAGACAACTTTTATCACCATTTTTCTGAGTCAAACAATTAATTCAATGAAATAGAATTCCATTTTTCATCAATCAATTCTTTTTCATCATCAATCAAAAAAACCCACGAAAAAAAAAAAAAAAGAAATTTTTTTCAAACCTAACACTAGTTCGAATGAACCCAGTGCCAAGGTTCCAAGGAACCCCACGCCTCGGTTTGAACGAACCCCGCGCCAGGGTTCCAAGAAACCCCACGCCTGGGATTGAATGAACCCAGCGCCTGGGTTCCTAAGGAACCCCGCGCTTGGGTTCGAATGAACTTTGCGCCAGGGTTTGAACGAATCCAGCGCCTGGGTTCGAACGTACCTAGCGACGGCTGTTGGGTTCGATGGGTTCTAAGGGGGAAGGGTAAAGAGAAAGGGAAAGAGAAGGAAAAATAAAAAAAAAAAAAAAAAAAATAGAATTGCAAATAAACTGATTTGATATAACACAAAATAATATTCAATCAAATATGGAGAAAAAAGAAAAAGAAAAAGAG